ATTCCAGAGGTTAGCCAGAAGAGATAAGGAACTATTTTTAAATAAGCAATGCATGGAAGTTGAAGAAGACAACAGAATAGGAAGGACAAGAGACCTGTTCCAGAAAATTAGAAACATTGGAGGTAAATTTCAGGCAAAAATTGGTATGATAAGAAAAAAAGATGGCAGGGACCTAACAGAAGCTGAAGAGATCAAGAGAAGGTGGCGAGACTATACAGAAGATCTGTATAGGAAGGATAATAATATCGAGGATAGTTTTGACGGTGTGATGAATGAATTAGAACCAGACATCCTGAGGAGTGAGGTTGAATGGGCCTTAAGAAGCATTGCTAACAACAAGGCAGCAGGAGACGACGGGATCCCAGCTGAACTGTTTAAAATCTTAAAAGATGATGCTGTCAAGGTGATGCATGCCATTTGCCAGCAAATATGGAAAACACAAGAATGGCCATCAGACTGGAAAAAATCAACTTATATCCCCCTACCAAAAAAGGGAAATGCGAAAGACTGCTCAAACTTCCGTACAGTGGCCCTTATTTCTCATGCCAGTAAGGTAATGCTCAAGATCCTGCAAGGAAGACTCCAGCAATACATGGAGCGAGAGTTGCCAGATGTTCAAGCTGGGTCTTAGAAAAGGTAGAGGAACGAGAGACCAAATTGCCAATATCCGCTGGATAATGGAGAAAGGCAGGGAGTTTCAGAAAAACATCTACTTCTGCTTCATTGACTATTCTAAAGCCTTTGACTGTGTGGATCATAATAAATTGTGGCAAATTCTTGGTGGGATGGGCATACCAAGCCACCTTGTCTCTCTCCTGAGGAATCTGTACAAGGACCATGTAGCAACAGTCAGAACTGACCATGGAAAAACAGACTGGTACAAAATTGAGAAAGGCGTACAGCAGGGTTGTATCCTCTCACCCAACCTATTCAACTTGTATGCAGAACACATCATGCGATGTGCGGGGCTGGATGAATGCAAAGCTGGGGTGAAAATTGCTGGAAGAAACATTAACAACCTCAGATATGCAGATGACACCACTCTGAGGGCCGAAAGCGAGGAGGAGCTGAGGAGCCTTCTAATCAAGGTGAAAGAAGAAAGCGCAAAAGCCGGGTTGCAGCTAAACGTCAAAAAAACCAAGATTATGGCAACAAGAATGATTGACAACTGGAAAATAGAGGGAGAAACCGTGGAGGCCGTGACAGACTTTGTATTTCTAGGTGCAAAGATTACTGCAGATGCAGACTGTAGCCAGGAAATCAGAAGACGCTTACTTCTTGGGAGGAGAGCAATGTCCAATCTCGATAAAATAGTAAAGAGTAGAGAAATCAGAATGGCAACAAAGATCCGCCTAGTCAAAGCCATGGTATTCCCTGTAGTAACCTACGGATGTGAGAGCTGGACCTTAGGGAAGGCTGAGCGAAGGAAGATCGATGCTTTTGAGCTGTGGTGTTGGAGGAAAGTTCTGAGAGTGCCGTGGACTGCGAGAAGATCCAACCAGTCCATCCTCCAGGAAATAAAGCCCGACTGCTCACTGGAGGGAAAGATACTAGAGACAAAGTTGAAGTACTTTGGCCACATCATGAGGAGACAGGAAAGCCTAGAGAAGACAATTATGCTGGGGAAAGTGGAAGGCAAAAGGAAGAGGGGCCGACCAAGGGCAAGATGGATGGATGGCATCCTTGAAGTGACTGGACTGACCTTGAGGGAGCTGGGTGTGGTAACGGCCGACAGGGAGCTCTGGCGTAGGCTGGTCCATGAGGTCACGAAGAGTCGGAGACGACTGAATGAATGAACAACAACAAGTACAGTGTTGCCTCTCAACACAAGGGTTGTGCAGAACAATCAACATTTAAATCTTCATTTATGCTATACCACCTACTGAATGATTTCAATAAGCGTGAGTAATATTGTATAATATTCAACCTTCAGATGACAAAATAATCAGTCTGATCAGCTGTTGTCACATTTGCTCCATTTATAGCAATCACCATTTGAGTATGCAGAAATATAGTGAATGTTTCATCATGCAGAATGTACATGCACAAGAAATACCAATTACTTTGTGCTGAAACTTAGTTTGGATTAGTACAACATTACATTGCAAAGAATAAGTTATGCTAGTGTATTGCAATATAAGAAAAAAATTAAAAAGTATTATGGTACATTTAAAATGAATGGCCTGACATCTTATGAGTGAGTTAAGATGAATGGGCTGGCATCATATGAGTGAGATATACAGGTATGAGTACAACTCTCCTCATATCTTTTGTTGTTGTTGTTTTAAAGTTAGAATTCTTTTACTGTCTCGCACAAAGATGAGAATCCCCTGGTAACTCAGCTTCCTCCTGTAATGCCTTTTCATGTCATATGACATCCAGTGACACCAGATTAGGAGGTAATACTCCAAAGGACAGGATCAAATTCAAAATGACCTTAACAGATTTGAGAGCTGTGCCAAAAATATAAAAATGAATTTCAACAATGGCAAATGTAATAAATATGCAGAAAAAATGAAATGCAAAGATATAATATGGGTGATACCTGGCTCGACAACAGTACATGGGAAAAATATCTTGGATTCTTCATGGACAACAAGTTGAACATGAGCTAACACTGTGATGCAGCAGCTTAAAAGGCCAATGGAATTTTGGGCAGCATCAAAAGGAGTACAGCGTCTAGATAAAGGGTGCTTTTGTATTCTGCTTTGGTTAGACCTCTCCTGGAATACTGTGTCCAATTATGGGCACCACAGTTCAAAAGAGTATAGATAAGCTGTAAGGTGTCCAGAGGAGGGCAACTAAAATGATCAAAGGTCTGGAGTGCAAGCCCTGTGTGGAGTGTCTTAAAGAACTGGGCATGTTTAGCCTGCAGAAGAGAACTTTGAGAGGAGACATAGCCAATGCCATGTATTAATATGTGAAAGGATGTAGTAAGGAAGAAAGAGCAGGCTTGTTTTCTGCTGCCCTGGTAACTAGGACTCAGAGCAAATTACAGGAAAGGAGACTCAGCCTGAACATTAGGAAGAACTTCCTGACTGTAAGAGCTGTTTAGCAGTAGAACTCTCTGCCTCGGAGACTGGTGGAAACTTCTTCATTAGAAACTTTTAAAAAGAGGCTGAATTGCCATCTGTCAGGGGTACTTTGATAGTGCTTTTCCTGCATGGATTAGATAGCCCACATGGTCTCTTCAAACTCTGTTCTATGATTCTATGGTGGTCTAAAAACTTTGTTTCCAGAGAGGCTTTGAAAACAGAAAGTTGTTGAAGGCTGGGGATGCTGCATTGCTTTTACTCTATTGTCTTTAACTTTTCAAAAAAAAATTAATTATAATTTATGAATAATTGTATAGGGTCTGATTCCACTTCAATACCCATCTTTCATATGTTTTAACTGTATTTTACATTGTGAGCCATTTTTTTAAGAAAACACTTTATTTCCAAGAAACAAGTATGATAATATATCTTCTAACCCTTGACCTTAATATAATTTAAAACATTTTTAAATTTTCTTTATTTTCATTTTTTTAAAATTATAACACCTTCCTGTATGTTGGATCAACCTAAAAAACTATCAAGCAACTAAATAATAAATCTAATGGGGTGTTGTAGGTTTTTCCGGGCTATATGGCCATGTTCTGGAGGCAATTTTTCTCCTGATGTTTCGCCTGCATCTACGTAGATCAGCCCCTACGTCAGGAGAAAAATTGCCACTGTATTGCCATGAAAGCCTTCGACAATACAATAAATCTAATATTTGTCTTTATTCATTTATACTTTATATTTAACCTTTGGGGGGATTTGCCACACTTTTGCAATCCTACAAATTGAACATAAATCCTCAAATTCAATAAAGCCTGGGGGGGGGGGGGATTTTTTCCCCACGTAAGACCTTCATATTGATTTTGTTAATTTTACCCTGACCTTTCTCTACTTCCAAAGGTCTAACTGTAAATCATGTGTCCTCATTGTTAGGAAATCCTGAAGAAGAGGTTCCTGGGTAATGAGAATTTCAATATTGTTAGATGTATTTTGTGTAAAACATTTTGCACCAGGACTGTGGCGTAGCTGGCAGAGAGTCAGCTGCATTAAGATCACTACTGATGGAAAGGTTATGAATTTGAAGCCAACCCGGGTCGGAGTGAGCTTCCGGCCAAATTTATGTAGCTTGTTGTCGACCTTTGCAGCCCAAAAGTCAGTTGCATCTGTCAAGTAGGAAATTTAGGTAACATTTTGTGGGGAGGCTAATTTAACTAATTTATGAGGCCATAAAAATCTCCAGCAAGCATGGTGTCATGGATGGACAGCTCCCCTGGTGGCCAAAAAAAGTTGATGTTAAATAGCCTCTGACTGTCTGTCTATATATGTTGTGTGTTTATGGCATTGAATGTTTGCCATGTATATGTATATTGTAATCTGCCCTGAGTCCCCTATGGGGTAAAAAGGGCAGAATATAAATACTGTTAATAATAATAATAATAATAATAATAATAATAATAATAATAATAATTTTATTATTTTCTTTTCAGAAATATGGTTTCATGTGCAATAAACCATGTGTGAATGTTGCACTTAATAAACTCTGTATATTTTTTGCACAATGAAAACCACTCAATTTTGAAGAATTTTCCACAGAAAATTGCTAAAATTATTGATATATTTAAGAATAACTATAGAAAATAATTATATTATTTTAGAGTATAAGAAGTGCTTAGTTTGATATACAATTCCTTAGACATTAATTTTTTTCTAAAAAAAATGCTTCTTTGTTGTTCATTCGTTCAGTCATTTCTGACTCTTCGTGACCTCATGGATCAGCCCACACCAGAGCTCCCTGTCAGCCATCACCACCCTCAGCTCATTCAAGGTCAATCCAGTCACTTCAAGGATGCTTCTTTAAACACTATTAAAATCTAATTTTTAAATAATGTATAAATTGGTTATTTTGTGTGGGAGGTTGTTTTTTTATTCTTTAATTCATATCCCATTTTATGTCTTCAGGCTTGGCAGGTGTGAAAACTAAAGGAAATGGTTTGGAGAGAGTACAAGAAAGGAAAATCATGTGACTCTTGTCTGGTTGATAGGGGTGATTTATGGGAAACAGCATGCTAAAGTAGACCTATTAATTGTAAAATAGTTTCCCCTACAAAGTTTGAATATTTCATTCTTTGGAGAATTACTGCATTGTTAAATCCAACTTAAACAGCAAATAATGTAAAATTTTGAGAGCATCAATACTGTAATATAAGCTTCAGTTTTCATTTTAATTGAATTATGTGAAACATGAAAGTACTTTTTTTGTTTTTAAACATAGTTGCAATATATTTGTGTAAGCAAATGGAGCTTGTGACCCCACCCTAAAGAAGGCAATTTGTACTTGTGTGCAAGGAAGCCTGGATTTTTTTTTAAAGATACCTGATATAAATCGGCATCCCTACTGTAGATAAGTGGATATATTGTTGGGTTTCTCTTTTGAACTTTCTAAAAATTGAAAATTACTGCACACATTCAGGTCCTTTAGGGAACATTCAACCAAAACTATGGTGATCTGAGAGTGGTTCCAGACAGCATTAAAATGTGGGTCAAATAAGTGGGACAAAAATTGTGGTGCCTGATAGCAAGTCCAAACACAGACCTGTCAGTCCCAGTAAATAGTCTCCCGTTGAGCTGACACCATTGTTTGTAGTGAATTTTAGAAATGTGCAAAATGGACAGGGGACATCTGGCTGAAATTTACCTTTTCTTTTTAATTGACTCGATGAGATATGCTGGATCTCATATGTAGTCATGTAGATATCTAAATATACACACAAGCAGATTTTTTGTTATCTCTCCTTGCCTTACTGTAAATTCAAGCCCTGTTTAATTTAATAAATATCAGAACAAATAGGAAGTATTCTGGTTTCAACTCCAATTTCAGTTCTAATATCTTCTCTATTTTTTCATGTATATTTTTCCAATATGATTTGGTCACTTTGCATGTCCACCACATGTGGAAGAAACAGTCAGTTTGTTCTTCACATTTCCAGCATTTATCATTTACTTTTGGATAGCATTTTGCTAATTTTTGAGGAGTGATGTACCACCTGCACATCATTTTCAGCCAATTTTCTTTCAAATCATAAGCATATGTATATTTTATTTTCTTATTCCAAATTTTTCCCAGTCTTCCAGTCTAATTATATGTCCTATATTCGCAGCCCATTTAACCATGCAGTCCTTAATTGATTCTGTCTCCATAGACCATTCCAATATTTCCAATTAGGAATAACAGATAAAAAATAAATAAAGAATAAAGACAAAATTTTAATTATTTAATAACAGCGGCTAGAATAAACTACGCAAGATGCTGGAGAACAAAAGGAACAATGGCTAATGAAGATTATAGACATCATGAATATGGACAAATTAACACAACTGATGAATGCAAATTCAAAATTGAGGACACAAAAAACAGACTGGATGCTAGTAAAGAATTTTATAACTAAAGAAAATTTGAAATGGATGATTGACCTAAGTTGAAAATTAAAATACAAAGCTCCTAAGGAAAAGGATGGAAGAGAAACAGCTGACAGTGAAAGGATGATTCTGAAGACTATTAGTACCAATGTGAAAACTATTGGAAGCTAGAACTCCAATCCCCATTACCTAAGCCCATTTTCCTAGACTAACCTAACCTATACCTCCACCCCCTAAATCAATCCCTACTCTCCGTGGTCTTACCCACTTTTCCTCCTATGTCCTTTTTTTTACCCACTTCTATAACAAAAATACTTAATAAAATTTATATTAAAAAAAGATCAGAACAAATGAATGGTTGCAGGAAGTACTCATTGTAAATGCTTTCCATTTGTGCTTCTATTTAGCCACCTGTGTGTCAGTGACTCAGTTTTTTTACAGCCCAGATGAGCTGTTTCAGGATTTTAAAATGTGCACATGCACTGGAGCAGTCCACACCAAGATATACGAACGAAATCACAGGTTTTCCTTGGCTGCTGGGATAAACAGTCATGCAAATATGTACATTTCTCAGCTGAAATTGGGTTTTAATTGCACCTTTCTAACATGTGTTTTTCATCTCTTAATCTGAATCAGCTCACATTTTCATGAAACGTCATTTAGCCACCGATCCCACTTTATCCCAGTTTCTTCCGTGTTATAGGATATGTGTAGAAGGGATCTTAGATTGTAGAATGAGTTGCTGGAAGAGATTCATTAGCTGAATACTTTACCTGAGTTCAAAACAATTAATGACTAGTCTCCTCTGAAATGTTTACCCAAATGATATTTAAATGATTAGTTTTAATGCTTGGATTGATGGCTCTTTTAATTCATGTGTTTTCTAATAGTATGTTTGCAGTCTTTTGTTGTAGTATAATCTGTTTTTGTTCCTGACCTGGATGCAAAAAGAAGAAAGAGGAGAAAGTGGAGGATCTGAAAATTTTCTTTGAAAGAAATCATGAATATGAGGAAGAATTGAAGTGCAAGAGCTGCCCATTTATCTAACTCAGTGTTTCTCAAATTCTACCCTTCCAGGGGTTTTGGATTTCAGCTCCCAAAACTCCCAGCCAGTTTACCAGCTCATAGGAATTGTGGGAGCTGAACTCTGAAACATCTGGAGGAGCAGAGTTTGGGAAACTCTAATCTAACCAGTTAAGCTCTGCCAGCAATATTTATTGGTTTTATAATGAATTGATAATAGTGGGATATTAAAGGAAGGGTTAATGCTGTTCAAATGCAATGCACAATAGCAACTACACAGCTTCAGGAAAGAAAACATTTGCAAACAATATTACAGCATACCAGTAGCTATCACCACCCCAGGTTATAACAGCATAATTAATTAAAACAACTATTATTTGCCCCAAAAGAAAGAAGAAAAATGCCATATCTATCCTTATATAAGTCACAATTCTGAAATAATTCAAAGTCTTGTTATTCACAGTAGGATCAGGAAGGCTTTTTTGGAATCTCTCTCTCTCTCTCTCTTGCTGTGTGTATGCAAATGTTTTGAATACCTCAGCCCCAATTAATGCATCAAAAACAATAACCGATTCTTAGAAGTAGGGCAGCGCACCCAGCTGAGGCCACACTTTTTGAAAACCTGATCATAAGTGCCACAGTAGGATATTATTGGGTGAGGAAGACTTTGCAAAAAGCTAGCTCCAGTAGGGAACCTAATCATTATCCAACGTTAAAGTAAAAATCCTTCTATTAGATAAATCCAATCTAATTCTTCTCTATGTTGAAGAATACACAATGTAAAAAAAATGTAGCTGCACAGTTTGCATCTCATTGAACACTCCCCCTCCATGTCTATGCATTTATAATGATTAAACACCTGCTTGTTTAGGAACAGATTTATCCCATGTTAGCTCACGTTCCACAAATCATGGAAACTGGAAGCTAGGACAAATCTCTTAATCGACAAATGATCTCAACAGTAATAATATCAAAATATCTTCTTTAGAACTTACATGTAGTGAATGTACCCATACATTTCTTTCATCTTTCAGGCCCAAATCCAGGTTGGGAGCATGCAAAGATGTTCAAAGTTGTCCTGGTCCTGTATTCCCTATGATACATCTAAGCTCTTTTGCTAGAGAATTCTTCCCGTGAACTGAACTTTATCTTTTTATTGTTTATACTAATATCTGCTAAGACAGGGCTTTTAAACTTTTATATTTCCAACCCCTTTTGACCAAACTGAATTTCTGTTTTACAGAATGCAAGTTAAAAACAGCATTAAAACAATTTAAAAACAGCATTAAGAATACTAAAAGGCATTATAAAATAAAAACCCCCTACATGCACCATATAAAGTTATATATGCTTCTTACACTACTACAAAAAGCTTCTCCAAAGGAAAAAAAAGATCTTCACCTGCAATTGGAAAGACATCAGAAAGGAGGCCAACTGCAAATTTCCGGGGAATAAAGTCCCATAACCCGAGAGCAGACATGTTCAATCTGGCCTCCCTTTTCAAGTTGTTTAAATTTTTTTGGTCTGATTTTTACACTTATGATACCACCATGACATGCAAAACTGAAGTTATGGAAATCAAATGATTGGGAATGCCTTGACATTCTTCTGTACTGGATATCAGATGTGGACACTGTTGCCCATTTTTGGTGAAAAGATATTTAGCCACGTGTGCTTATTCTATTTCTATCAGTTTTATACTAATTTATGCAATGCCTTTGATATGAAATAAAATAAAATAATCAGACCCAATCAAAGGAAAACAAACCCATCTCCTTCAGAACCCAGTTCACTTAAAGGGTTATTAGTGCCAACCATAGTCAATTCAGTATGGCATTTCAACAAGACACACTCTTGTCAATCATTACAGTTGTTAGCTGTCAATAAAAAAGTTTATTTGGCTTGCTTATGTGCTTCTAGCTTCAACTACCAAATGAATAAATAAAAAAATAAAAATCAGTTGGGTGTCAAGTTGCTGTCTCAAAACACAAAAGCACAACTACCAATTGTTCCATTTTTAGCCATGACAATAAAAATATTCAGTCTCATGTTTATGGTTTCCATTCTTGGGTATATATCATAAGACTTGGAAAGAGCTCATTTTATCTCCTTTGAATATCATCTGAAGTTTCTCTAGCTTTCAAGTATGCCTTTAAAGCAAATTGGGAAAAGGTTAGCATTAATGAAGTGGTTTAGCGCGCACACAAGATTCTGTTAATAATGGGTAAATTCTCTTTAAGAAAAGAGGAACTGAAGACAACAAGTAAAAGTCAGGTGCTATCTGTGTCTGTCTAAGCATCTTCAATGGCTGTTGTCCTCATCCTTTCACAGAAAGATGTTTGTTAATCAGGTCATCTAGCACACTCCACTTACCCCCAAAAGCCAAATCTTTATTACCACTAAACAGTGATTTCAGTTCTCTTGTCAATTTAGTTGTCTTAGTTCAAATGAAGTTACTGTTGATGGTAAAAGTAGTTCTATTGTTACAGAGTGCACCATCATGTACAAGTCGGACAAAAGAAAAAACATGATGTAGATGTGGAACATTTTAGGTTCTTTATCTTTATTTGAGTAATGTTTGAATGATTATTAAATGTCATTATAGTCACCA